TTAATTATGTGAATTTGAATCTGGGCAAGTTCCTGTATTGTGTCTTTCCTCCCTCATTTCTACAACAATAAAACCCAAAAAAGGCACTTTATGTAAAATAAAATACAAAAAAATCCTATCAATAAATGAATACAACGACTTGCACGAAAATAAACGTCCAAATAAAGATTTTTTTCACATGTGGTAAAAAGTTTTAATTCCAATCTTTAGTTTGCATGTACAAATATCTATAAAAAGTGAACACCATCACTCTTTGTATGTACATTGTTCAGCACAATGTTAACTCGGGGCCGATAAGAGGACAGATGGGGAGGAAAAAAGAGGACGATACAAGATAGTGACATTTACCAACTACGCGTCCATCTGTGTAGCCCGACTCCAAAATTTCAAGTGCTCAGAAGCCACTTAGACATTCCTCCTGCAGCAACAGGATGCATATATACAGGAGGCAGGATAATTCATCAATGCATTGCCATGATTCAAACACAGTACAATCAAACCATGCAACAGACATCATCGAGTACTTCGTTTTTCATCTATGTTTAATATATCTACTGTATATTCTAATAATCTTAAAACCTTTAAGTGCAGCTTATGTGACAAGAAATAAAATTAGCAACACCAGCGGTAACATTTTTTTTTTAAATGCTAAACCTTGTCTTGCATGAGGGGAGTTTTTTTTTTTTACAGAGGTTTCACAGAGGTCTGATATTCAATATTTCCTGGACACGTGGTAGGAATGCGGTTTTGCCACCAGTTTTGCATGACAAAACAAGGGAGTGCACCTATTTTTTTTTTATTAATTTCTTTTTTTTGTAGCTTACATGTGTCTGTGTGGTACATAATTCGGTTGTTGTATCACATTCTTTGGAAACAGCTGCAGAAATGTAGGACAGTAACAAAGGTGGAGGAGCAGGTCGTAACTTAGCGTTTGACATTTAAACAGGACAAACACCAATTGGGGGGCATTTCCAGCAGGACTTAAAATCTTACATTAAAAGACAGGGTTGGTCCAAACCAAGTGATGGGAATAAATTAACAAAGGGATCCGACGTACGTTTGTCGCGTTAAAAGCTGCACAGGAGCAGACACGGTAAAGGGGGCGGACGAGAAAACAATCATTTTTTTATCACCTCATCCTCTGCCACAATCCTTCATTTCCATGCATGCAGTGTGAGTTTAAGAGGTTTCTTACAGGGAAAAAATGGCTTGTGTGCCTCTGTGTGTGTGTGTGTGTGTGTGTGTGTGTGTGTGTGTACATCTGTAAAGTGTTCAGCATTCACTTTTGATTCCCCTGATAATTTATAGTTGAGTCATCAAACAGAGGGTTCTTCACTTCCATCTCTCCAGTCTGTAAAGGGGAGGGGAGAAAATTCACTATCAGTCACTGCATTTGCATTAGAAATGATAAGAGCGTGTGTGTGTGTGTGTGTGTGTGTGTGTGTGTGTGTGTGTGTGTGTGTGTGTCTACCCACCGGTGCGAGTCCGGGGCACTCGTATACTGTGAAGTCTCCTCCCACTTCTTCTTCATCTGATGTGACCTCGTTCTCATGGCCTTTCGGTTCAGGTTTGTGGCTGAAGCAAAAACAAGATACTCAGGTTAAGAGTGTAACAGGGTGAGAGGAACATGTTGGATGGTAAGCGTAAAGAGAGAGTAGCAGATAAAACAGGAAAAAAAAACATACTTTCCCATTGAGAGCATCTGCTGTTTTTGATGCTGATAGTGATACATCTGAGCACTTTGGGCCAGAGTTTTATCTCCCATCTGAAAACCGAAACAGAAGAAGGAAGTGTGGGTGACACATTGAAAAACAGAAGCCTCGTTGCACGGGGGCACACACTCGCACATCTTGCGGTTAGCGCAGAAGAAGAAGAAGAAGTGAGAAATGGAAACAAAACAGGCTTTTGCAGTTGGGCAAAGGAAGAGACGTGCGCTCACCATAGTGCCATTGGCTGGGGGAGGAGGCGCGCTCACCCCTCCGAAGGCAGGGTAATCCACCTTCTCCGCAAGACGTGATTCTCTCTGCAACCTGTGGGGGGCATCGTGATTCATGAGTTTCCTGAACAACCAAGGGCGGGTTCCTGCTTCTGGCATTGAAACATCCTTTAAGCTCACAGCAAAGTTTGGTTTGATTTTAAACCCGTGTGAAAGGATCGTATGTGTTTATTAAAATGAGTTCTAGTGATGTGTGGGATTCTTTGTTTGTTTTTTACCCAACCCCTCAACATTCACCTACATTTTTACCATAAAACACTGAAGCTCACAAGCATTAGTTGTGCTTCCACAGTCACAAAAAGATTTTAGCATACCGTGAAACTGGCCCTGCTATTGTAGCAGTGGTATTTGTATTTTAAAATCATTCAAACCGGTCGCACCATGAGGCTTTTAGAAAACGTATGATCGAGGCCGAAATCATTAAAAACACAAGAGCAGAGTTTTCACTTGGCCCGTGTTCAGGCCGATGAGGGCGAGTGGAGGGAAATCAATACGGTTTAAATGAGGGTTTTAACTAACGCCAACCCATAACGAAATAAAAGAGGGTAATAAAAGCTCCTAAGTTATGCATCTGAGCCTGGTGCAGTCTATGAAAGTGTCACAGGTTTAAAATTCCCATGTCTTTTAATTAGATGTATTCCACCTCTTCTATGGGGTGCAACAAAATCAAACAGCGGCGCTACACTTTATTTCTGCTGATGTCGTTTTGCTTTCAGTAATTAAACTAATTAATTAAAACTAATTTATCTTGTACTAGCTTAAAAAGCTTTCCTACCACGCTAATGCGATTTCAAACAAGATGTGTCCAGACGACCGTATCAGGAATCAGCATTCGGATGCTGACGTAGCGCTTATTTGTAGAAAAGAGTGAAGAGAACAGTGAAAAGTACCAATTCCTTAACTGCACAACAGCTGCTAAAAAAGACGACAAAGTCAGCAGCCTTGGTCCTAAAATGCTACAGTAGTGTGGACACTCCTTGTAAATATAGCAGAAGTGAGGCATATTAAAAGAAGAACATATTCGTGTTCACATCAACTTAAAATACAGTCGAGTCACTCTTCAACCAGGATGTGATGCACCCTCCCATTTACACGTCAAACCCATTAAACTCAATTGTAAACTCATAACGTACTTTTAAGAGGACTTTTTAAAACACTTTTGATTAAAAGAAATATATTTTGCAAAATATATGTAATTATGTTTTGACTCGTTGTCACTTTAGTTCCACTTAACTGACTGCAAAACCGTAAAGTGTGTTTTTTTTAATTCATATTTTAGCTAGAATTACCTGGTGTATTGTGCAGCTACTCATGAAACAAGGCACCCACACCTACGCCATGTTATAACTATACCAACAATGATATAGTTCACTTTGCTCAGCAACAAAAAAACTAAATATTCTGTCTTGTTCTTGCATTGCTTTTGATTTTTCTGTGTTCATACGTACTTGATGTAACAGATAGTCGCCACGCTCACTGCCACGGTGCCCACGACCACACACAGCGAGATGATGACTGACAAAAAAAGAACACACAGGGATTGTTAGAGGTGAAGATGAGTCCTCAGGTGGCGGCCTGAAGACTAGCTAGACATTTATTATGCATACACTTCAGCTCATTTGCTCAACTTGTCGTGGTCTTAACACTGAAATGAGACACACTGGAGCAGAACTATCTATGAATCTCTTGGTATACACAGGAAACAAGGTGATAACACTTTAGCTGGCAAACTTCCAACCTTCCAACCACGAGATATCAAGCTGCTCGGTGAGAAATGAGATTCAAAACAAACCCGACTGTGAACTGAATCTGGTTACACCCTTATCCTGTACCAGAAACCTGCATTTCCCACCATCGGGTATACAGTGGTTTTCACTTTGCGGGTCACACAAATAGCCGTTACAGCTGCTGGTGCGTGCCGAGGGCAGGAACTCGTACTCACTGACGATAATGTTGTCGTTCTTGGGTGTTGGCACGGCTATGGGCCCACCTCGGCCCCCGGCCCCTGTAACTCTGGGCTGTGGGGTGGGGGTGTTGGGGGTGGTGGTAAGTGAGGGGCGTGGGGCTGCAGTGGTTGTCTGCTGGGTTTCAGCTAAGAGCCTCAACTGGTTCGGCTGTTGGTGTTTGGAGGCATCTGTCTTGCTGTTCTTAACATCTGTTTGGGAGGTGATGGCAGCTGGAGAGAGAGGGAGGAACACACAAAGGGTATAATAAAAAGGTTAAAATGAAGGAAAAACAGATTATATGGTACAAGCAAATGATCAGAAGATATTAGAAAATATAAAATAAAATAAAAAACACTGTCTATACTGGAAAAAAAAGTTAAAGTAAACACAAACCTCTACTTGAAAGACAGGAAATAATATCTTTGCTACTCATATATTATTCCGGTGCTTCTGCTGCAGGTGTCTTACCAGGATGTTTGGATTGCTTTTTTGGTGTTTTCATCTGTGACACTTCCTGTTTCGCAATGACAGAGTGAAGGAAATCGATCTCTTCATCCAGGTCAGTGTAGGAGGTCATTTTACCTGAAGAACAGACAAAGATTGAAATGGTCATGAAATTACATTATGGAAGAGAGAGAAAAAAAATGGCTTTATAAGTCCAACAAGTCCAGGATGAATACAAAGCTCTGACAAACACACCGAGATTTAAGGCTTTGTATAGTAAATACAAGCCTTCAGTTCATTCATAGAGCCAAAGGTGGAGAGTAGCTAAGTACATTTCCTTCCTAAACCTCCCACGTGGTTTCATTTCAATCAAAGATCAGAGAAAAAGCAAAAACATCAACCTTTAATAACAGATTGATCTGGTGTTCCTGTGTATAAAATAGTATATAGAGCAGCTGTTGATACCAAAGTGCTTTTATTCTACTTGTACAGGAGTGACTTTACATCGCTGTATTGGCACTTTTACTCAAGTAAAAAATCTAAATACCTCTTCCACCACTGAATATAAAAATAACAAATCAGTTGGTATCCATTGACAGTAACTTCATGTGAAGAGTTCATTTGCAAAAACAGAGAACTCCGCCTTCACAAACCTTCAGAGAACCCACTTTTCCATCGTCTCCCGGAGATGATATCAAACTTAAGCTATCTCTGTTTTTGTGGTTTCTACTGAGTCAAATCCACTCAGCTTCAGTTTGATTGATATCATCTCAAGCAAACAACAAAAAATAAGTTATCTGTTTTTGAACATGAACTTTTCCTATATATATATCTAACAAGCAGAGTTACCAAAGCCAAACACCTTTGACTGAGGTCAGCATGTTGATGAGCAGCTTCACCACATTTTAATCTCCAGCTGTTAAGTTTCTCTAAAAGGAGATTATTATCTATAAAATGAATTAATTTGACTTTTAAAAACAAACAGCTGTGAGGTGAGACATGGATTACTGTCTTTACTGCTGCATTAGATGTCGAGAAGCAGCAAATCATCACAGCTGAGTAACTGGACGACGCAAAATTCAACTATAATCAAAATAGTTCAACATTTAACCGACTGACTCATTATGCATCATCCAAGCTCATGCCACAAAAAAGCCTGAAGTTTTCCAAGTTTGGAAAACAGAGTTTTGAAGCTTCCCTGCTTTTGTCTCTGTTGTTGTGTACATGAGAGGCAAACAGAGAGAGAGAGAGAGTCCATGCATGTGGTTTAAGCATGCGTTCATGAATTTACATGCGTTTTGGGGATCTCGCCTCTGAAGTGACGAACGGGGAGTGTGCCCATGTGTGTTGTTTGTTTGGGGGACTGGTAAAAAAAGGAGACAATACTAAAACTGTTGTTAAGAGCCCTTCAGGCCAGACAGTGAGCCACATTCCTCAAAGGCTGCCGAGGTCTCCAGGGCGACCAGGGCCGACGGTGTGTGTGTGTGGCCAGAGGAGGAAGCACCGCGGGGGGCCGCAGCAATCAGCCAAACCTGGGCTTCGCTGGGCTTCACTTGCTACTTTCACAATGGAGCCCATAGCTCAGTGCTAATGGAGGTAATCAAAGTGTTATTTCCCCTCTATAAAGTTTGCCCGCTGTATATCAAATATCAGATTATGGGTGTTTGCACACAGAGCTACTGACACGGCAACCGCTTGGGACTTCAAAAAGTTTATAAGACAGGAACCTCAGGATCTCCAACACATGAGCAGTTGTTTTCTATGACATTCACGTTAAAACCGGTGCGATAAAATAAATGACCAACGCCAGTAAGTCGAGCTAAACAAATGTGTTATTACACCTACACCGCATTAATGATTACGGTGGTGCTGTCACTCCAGAAGGCCGGCCATCTGGCTGAGCTAATGTGTATGATATGACATGCCAGCACTTTCACTGACTGCTTTGTTATTTTCTTACCCCCCTCCACTAATGGCCATTTAGTGCACTCCATAGCAGGTGTCTGTGGAGGCGGGATGCACCATCTGTACTTTGCAGGTGGTTGAGAGCACCAACTGTGCCTGTGCGCTCGCCAGGAGTGTGTGGTGATACAGGTTTGTCGGTGGTGTTTCAAATGTTTTTTTAACTAAAAATCTGCAGCAAAATGTTTAAAAAAAAAAAAAAGGGTGACTATTATTTATTTAAGGAGGAATCCTCAGAATCTCTTCCACATCGGCCGAAGCTGATCATTCACATAAAAACAGTGGATGTGTGTGGATTGTCACACGCTCACTAAGCATGCACACCTCTCCTTGTAGAAGAGAGTTTTGTCACCGGCTTGATAATGACCCATAACCTCTTGAGAGCTCCCAGGGGGCCGGTTGGGTACAACAAACAAACACTAAACATCTCAACAGGGACTGTGGGTCACACGCATACGTGCTGTTTTCTTTTCCCACTTAAAAACCATTCGCATTTCTTCCTCCCTCCCCCCTCAAACCACACGTGCACACACACACACTTCCTCCCACCTCCTTCCACCTTATAAACATCTAAATCAAATTGACTTATCGGATTAGTCACTTTATTTGCCACTCGCTCGCAAAATGTGCCACGATGTGATTGTGCCTCGTATCTCGACGCTAAACTAACAGAAATAATCTCTAAAGAATGTAAATACTTTCAGATAAGGCTTTGTGTATCTTTAGAAAGTATACCGCGAGGATCTTGCAATATTTTGAACCCAAACTTGGCAGAAATCCCAAATAAACAGGCAAACATACAGGACATAGCATCTGGTATAGCACTATAAGGTGATGATCAGCAAACACAGCTGCCTGCATATAGATATTTTACATTTCTGTGTAATCTGTTCATTGTTATTTTGATGAAAAACCAAATTTGTTTAATATTTAAAATGTGAAACCTCCATCACAAATTACAAGAGTCCAAAGTGGTGACTAGACGAATGATAAATTGCTCCAAGATGCAAAAATAAGCAGCAAAAAACAACAACAAATTAACTTATTAGGTGTCAAATCATGAGTCAATGAACTAATCGTGTCAGTGTTACAACAAAATACAGTCTTAGTATGAAACAGTGCTTAAAGGGAGAAGTTGGAAGTGAGCAGAGTGGCCTCCTCTCACAGCCAGCACACATTATTGATCCGTACTCGATGTGTCCTGCTGCCATCTAGTGGAACATTTAACACATGGACAAAGACAGACTACAGATCAGGCTGCTAACAGATTCTTTAAACTCTTAGCTGATTTGACAGCAAAGAAAAAGTTAATTTCCCTGCCCTTTATCGAGTGTTTGGATGAAACAAGGAAGTCAGTTTGAGAAGACGGAGCCCCAGTTTAATCAGAATCTACTATTTACTAAGTCTGTTTTAGCATGAGGGAGTGGTACACAGTAAAGATGTCAACCTGCCAATGAAATTCCTCAGTCGGTTAGATTGTGTACCTTATAACTGTGCCAGTGAGTCACCTTCTTCCCGCCTGCTATAAAAAGTTAGTCACAGCTGAGCGCACAGCTTTGAGTCAGTGCACGAAATCTGACCAGCGATATTTGAACCAAATAAATAGTCCCACCTGTCTTTTATCCAAAGTTTAAAAAAACCACACAAATACACCTACAACCTGAAAAAGTTTGCAATAAAACATTCTGATTTTTTCTCATAGAAATCAGATGTTTACTGCTAAACACATCACAACCTTGTACTGCCTAGGAGTCGATCAGCAAATCTACAAAAGCAGAACATTAACGGTAAAGTTTCCCTGCAACACCAGATGAAAACTCTGTTATCTAACAGCCAACCTGATATTTCTGTGAACTTCAGCGTCTTCCACACTTTCAGTTTGTTACTCACTTTATTTTTAAAAGGTAAGTGTAATATCTGTTGACAGCAGGTGTTTAAAGGGTAAAAGTTGCAAAAGCGATCGCTTTCTTATACACACTGTTGACAGCTCTAATGAGTCACCGCACAAGAAAAACAGTCGACGATAAATGTTAGGTTGGAACTGTTTAGCCGATTGGTTTCTAGTGGAAGTTGTGTAAATGTTGGGATTAACATCAACAATCATGAAAAAGACCATCAGATGTTGATTCATTTCAGCGGTAAAATGCATTAGATAGCAGTTCATTCTGTTGTTTTCAGGGTGTAAAAAGCATTTCTGTCATTGTTAGTGAGCCTAAAACTGTTGAATCTTTTCCCATTAGTTTAGTTTTCATGTTACCAAACTGAACTGCTGCAGGATATTTGCTCGTGTTGCACGTCAGCTTTCAGTGGGCCTTGGTCTTTTTTGTTTTTCACTGCTTTATTCTAGATTTCATAATATAAAGAGACAAACATTTGAGCACAAGAGGGGAAAGAAACAGTTCTTTCAGCCTTTTTCAGACATGTCATACCTGATATTTGTGGCTTCATCAGTGTGTTTAGGTGACATATTTTCATTCAGACAAACATGTGGGTCACTTTCACATTAATGTTCCTCATTGCTTCACTGGAACAGACCCATGACGGTGATGCAGAGAGCCGTGGTACATGCAACACTCTTCATATGGACAGTCAATGCGTCGTTATCTTCTACGTGCTTATCAATTACGGCGACTGCGTGCATTTCAGACTTGCGCTGAAGTGACGGTGATATGTAAATGTTACTAGGTCTAAGATCACGACTTTTACAGAAGAGTGACCGCGGTGCTCATTCAAACGTGAAGCCGACACGTTCAGATGTTGGGGGGTTTACATATAGTGGGATATATGTAATAAATGTACATGCACGAGATAAAGAGTGGGAGAGAATCTGAGGAGGACAAACAGAAAGAACTATGAAAATACCCCAGTCCACCCCTGTCAAACGGCCCGGCCTTTTAAACATACACAATTAGAAGATACACGTATGAAGAATGCACATCGTGTCTCGTTGTGACAAAAGGACATGGCTTGGAGGTATACTGTGTGTTTACCGATGGCAGCGCACGCCTCCATGTCAAACACAGGCAGGTTCCACGTGCAATAAAAAGTGCCGCCCGCTTCGCTTGTTCACCGAGTGTGCTTGCTCATCCAGGCTGGGCTGACTGCGCCAAATATCAGACATTTTAGATCACGAACCCAGCGATTTTCCAAGTAAACCTGCAGCAGCATCACAAGAACAGATCCGCATATGCGAGGCCAAAGAAGTGCGTGATTAAGCAGAAGAGGAGAATCGGTTTGTCTCGCAGTAATACATGTGACTGAAATGGGAAGATAATCACAGTAATAACGGGACTAAGAAGAATGAAATTTCAGGGAAGTAAAAGTTAAATACCATCCCTGCCATCTGTAATTATTAATACTGCAGCAATACAATTATTCTGATGACCGAGTTATAATAAAATGCATTACGTTTTTTGCACTTATTATAGTGAATTTGTGTGTAATGTGTGACAAATGCAACACAAAATAAAAGGACAGTGAACAAAACAAGAGCCTAATATCTAATGAACTGACAGCCTCATTAAGCAGCCAGCAGTGTAAAGGCCTTATAGACCTATAGTAGCCTTATACGCTACATCCATGGATTTGAATCTGATGCAACTTGCTGAAGGCAAAGTAGGGGATGAGCTACAATCCTGAGTGTTCTAAGACGAGGATGGCAGCAGTACCTTGGATCAGCTGTACAGCTCTTTGGTCAAATGAATTACGTAGACATTGATGCATACTGCTGCTTTCATGCATACGTACTCGGAGAAATCCAGGCTGCTCGGTTAAATTGTGCATTTTTTCCAGCATATATTTATAACATCACAGCTACTGAAGCTTCTGTTTGTTCCAGTACATGTAACCTTGAAATAGTGCTTTATCATATCACTGTGGTTATTCTAAAGAGCGGTAGAAAAGCAGATAAAAATAGAAACAGAATTTCAGTTTTGTCTCGCTTCCGTATGCGCGCTCAAATTTCAGATCATCAGTTATTTAGCCCTAAAAAAAACAAACAACAACAGCCGTCATATTTGCTTTGAAGCGACAACAGTGTGACTTCCGAGGTGCAGTTTGCGGTCAGTGACGCTGCCAAACAACCAAAGCAGCATCTGGACTGAAGCTCTTTGTTGTGTTTTGATGCATTAAGAGAATTGCGCTGCCCCTGACAAACCGAATAAACCCAACGCTGCATACTCAGAGCGAAATAATGAAATTGCCATAATTTCATCAGTTCGTTTTAACATTTTTGCCAGCGTTCGTGTGTACATGCATGTGTGCTCGGAGTGAAAACGAGACTCCCATGTGAACGCTCTGTGGTCTCTCGGGGGTTTATGTAACCACTTGAGGGAGCTTAAAGGCCTGTGGTGCACTGGCTTTATAACACCATGTACACGTGCACGCATAACCGCATCACAGAAATAAAAATCCTAGCCAACGCTGAAATACTAAAAACTGTTCAGCCCGTATCATTATGTGAGTGCACTGCAAAAAGTCCTTTCTCCTTCTGCGTGATGTGACCTTTCTCTGCGATACGTCCTGACTCTCGTCTCCTTCTCATGTTTGCTTCTCTCTCGGATGCTGCCGCCAATAATTTGAGCCAAGTTTGAACTGGATCCTCTTCTGACGTAAGCCCATCTAAATTATTAATCCTTCAGAGAACCCACATGTGCCCAACAAGAGAAATTAAAAAACACTTGGTTGCAAACACACGCATATTCGCGCTGAAGCAAGCCAGCTTGCTAAAATATACACAAAATGTTTACCCTTTTTTTTTCCTCCGCTAATTTCTGTATCGCCTTCTTGAAACACGGTGTGCGTGCCAGCATTGCAATGCCATGCCTTGGAAATCAGAAAAATAAGATTTATTTTCGCAGCTTGGCTCTTTCATTGAGTGATATTGGATTCAGTGATGGAGATGAAGGGCAACGGAGAGAGAGGGAGATGCATGTCATCTCAGTGATTAAGGCCGCCAGTGCGGGGGCGATGCATGTGTGTGCTGCAGACACAGCAGGGGCAGGGGCGGATTAAAAAAAAAAAAAAAAAAAAAAGAGAAAGAAAGAGGCTCAGACTGCACCATGGTTGTCAGATATATGGGTGGGAGAGAAGGAGGGAAGAGCAAGGACCATGAAGGGTGTACAGAGAGGAGGCAACAACTGGAGAGAATAGACGCATTGGCAGAGAATACATGTGAAATGAAGATGTTGAGGAAAGGCGAGTCAGTCGGTGGATTTACATGCACGCTGATAATATGTTTACATCCAGTGAGGAGCAATTGTTGAGGATGTCATTTCGTCGTAACTGGAACTGAGGATGTAATTACAATAAGCACAACCTGGTTATTCATCAGACTTTAATGTACTCGTGTCAAGCTTAATCATTTCTGTGGTTTAACTTGAACACACAGATCATGTACCACTGTGTGTTCGTGACATGTATGACTAACAGCGGTCATTTACTTCATCAATTAATCAGTTTGCCTTTAGAAATGTCTCTTAGCTTTATATTTCTTTGAAATGAAAACAAATGATTGATTAATCAGCTAATTGCTTTTAAGCACACCAGAGTTAAACTATTTTTAAAAAATCACAAGAATATATAACCAAAACCAAACCAGAGGTGCTCTTTAAGTTCACTGATTTAAAAGGCAAAAGGAAGAGAAGAAAACAAACCCATTATCATTGTCCTGCATTTCTTTATAGCGTTATTCAATGTAAGTCTGCAAAGAACCAGGATTCACTTCTTACCGTCAGCATGAATCAAGTGAAAAATGGGTTTAAAACTTCATTATCCGTTGTATTTGCTACTCCACAAATAGATGATCTCTCAGCTTAATATTTAAATCGTCATGTTTGGTTTATTATCTCAGATATTCCCAATTATTCTTATTTTCAAGTTGTGTGTTTCGCCCTTGTGCTTGGACCGTACCAGTAGCGCCTGGGGGAGCGTACAGCCAGCCACGCAGCTGCATTATGTATGTTATACATCTGACCGTGCAATAATTCATAGGCTACGCTATTCTGGGAGGGTTTGGAGACTTATATATTTGTGATTTTTACTGGTAATGTTCAGATTAAACAGACTTCTAACCTTTTGTCTGCATGCACGCACACTCACAAATGTAGCCTAATGAATGGATCAATAAATGAATGTACGGCTAAAAAATGACAATATTTTATTTTATTACTGCTTAACAAGTAGTGCAGAATGTCATAAATAGTCATCTTGTTCACTGTGGGGCAAAAACAAACCGCGCTAAACTGTCATCAGCTTATTATAGCATTCAGGTTGTTTTGAATCTCGCCACAACCTTGGACCTGTTTTTTTTTTTTTTGCTCTTCACTAACATATGGTGTGGCATATTTACATACATAATGTGGCTGCGACAGTCCAATCTCAAGCACAAAACACAGAATAGAAAATTAGAATACTGAGTCTGAAGTAATTGAAAAATAATTAACAATGAATGAACCTATTTTTCATTTGATGTATTTTAAAGAAATTAATCGAAGAACCAACGAGAACCGAGCCTGAGAACCTTGCGACGTAAATGCAGAAGGATATCTTCTCTGATTTGCCTTCTTTCTGTTTTATTTTTGTCTCAGGTACAAGAAAAGGCATCTACTAAGTTCTAATTTCTGCTGTAAACGTGCTCAATAAAAAGCAGAGTTTGTGAGTGTGGGGTCATGTGTGCGCTTGTTTCCTTCGTACCATGTTGACGGTGCCTCATCAGGACACAGCGTCCTTCCTCGTTCTCTTGCAACGGGGACATGCAGGGACCACAGTAGGAAGAGCCAGGCTGGCAGAAGCGGCGCCTTTGCTGGGCACATTCTATGGGGCTGGGGCACCGACTGTGAGCTGAAACAGAGAGACGGAGGCAGAGAGAGGAAACAACAAGTTTTATCACATTATACTGTGATGCAGTAATGATGCTTTTAATGAGGCAGTGGAAGAAAAAAAAACAGCTGCTTCGTTGAATGCTCGGAATACAATACACTTTTGAACCGGTACTCCTCTTTTTAGTGGATGTGTCTCTTTTCAGAAATAAAGCACCTGACCTAGAACATGGCGTCTACTGACGTCAGAGTTACATCAGGTCTTCATCGGGTTTTTGAAAATGGCTCTCGTGTTCGCCGGAACCTCATTAGTGCACCAAAGAGGATGAGAATTTCGAACATCGACAGGAAAGTTTTTACACATAATTTCCCACATTTTGCAGAGCGGTGAGCCCCACCCGCTCGTCAGCCGAAATAAGGTTACACCAAAGTAAAGAGTGATCTATCGCTGCTCTTTCACAATCAGGTTAGATAATCGCTTGACCCCATTACTTCTATTTTGCCGGAGCGGAATTTAGATAAATACACAGAAACACACACACACACAGGTTTTCGAGGCAAACAAAGGAAGGCAGTGGGTCACAGAACCGCAGCAGGTGTGTTTGGTAGCAGAGGGCAAGTGGAGCACTGGGAGGCTATCAGAGCAGATAATGAGGCCAGCAGTGCTGCACCGAGGGCGAGCTAAAGGTGAACAGCACAGTGGGTGTTACCGCCGGCATAAGAGGCACGAAGTGATATAAGGCGGGAGGAGAGGGGATGAATTCTGTGTTTTTCTCTGGAAGGATAAAAGGTCGGAGCTGGTCAAGTCTGTAGTGTCACACATCAGCGCGCTGCATAAAAAAAGAGGTCATGAAAGATCAAATAGATGATTTTTATATAACTTTTGAATAGATATTAAAGCTACCTACTGCTTCAAACGATACTCAGACGCAATAAAATACAAGCACAGCAAAAAAAATAAAATAAAAAATTGCGAATGCTTCTTGGAATCGATTATTTTCAACTTTAACGGAAGAGAAGAAAACTACACATGACAGGAGATGACTGGAGGAGAAATGTCAATTACCTCTATGGCAACGAGGTAACATCAGGAAAGATGGGAGATATCAAAGGAGCACATGTGCACAGAGAGTATTGTAGAGATGATGTGCAGATTGAAGAGGAGCAGAGGACACTTCGGTACCCATGTCCACAAACATACAGCTGAAACCACAAGTTTACATACACTGTGTAAAAAGACACAAAACCTTTTTTTGTCTCACTGTCTGACATTAAATGTGATTAAACTTTTCCATAATGACCATCGTTACAGTTGGAAGAGAAAGGGGGAAGCTTGCAAGCCTGAGAACACCATCCCAGCTGCGAAGCACGGCGGTGGCAGCATCATGTTGTGGGGTGTTCTGCTGCAGGAGGAACTGGTGCACTTCACAAAATGGATGGCATCATGAGGAAAGAAGGTTATGTGGAAATATTCAGAAACATCTCAAGACATCAGCCAGTAAACTTGTAAAGTTTTGACTTTGAAGGAAGTAATAAAAAATTCTCTCTCTCATTATTCTGGCATTTAGCAAATAGAAATAATTTTGGTAATCCTAACTGACCTGAAACAGGAAAAGTTTAGTCTGATTTAACATCAAACAGTGAGAAATAAAAGGTTTTATGTCTTTTTATACAGTGGATGTAAATGTCTGGTTTCAACTGTATGTATGTTTAGTGTGTTTACCCAGTTCAGGGCTCCAGACTGCGACCAATATGGCCACATTTGCGATTCACCCAGTTTCATCTTTGACAAATCTGACATTAGAACGCCCCAGTGAACTCTTTTTAATGTCATTTTAGGTCGCACACCTGTCTGAGCACCACCACAGATATCAACAGCAGCTAGGGCAGCCTGCAATGTGGGACATCGGTAAATTATAGTCTATCGATAATAAAATGTTCAGCAAGTCACGTTTTGCCTGTGACCAGGTGGGAGGTGCGACCAAATGACAAAGTTGGTCTCACAGGTGCCACCAGTGAAAAAGGTAGTCTGGAGCCCTGCAAGTGACAGTTCTGTTGCTGTATATTAATGGCATTTGCCCTTCATGAATCATCACAAAGGCTCATAATTCAAACAGCGTAAAGCGTTTTAAGATGCCAGTAGCACATCAGCAGCAGCTCCTTGCTTTGTAATAGAAGTGTGTACACAGCAAAACAGTAGTTTCTTACCTTTTCTGTCATCCACAGGCAAACATATTTTATGAATCACTACGTGCCACAGACTATTTTTTATTATAAGAGTCCAAAAAAAGAAAAGCATCCAAGCTTTACACCGTTTTGGTAGAACAGGGATAAATGTTAAGAGGTTTATTGATACCCATTGACTCACTGAAAACCAAAACTAGACAACTATTCAGCTTATTTGTGAGACTACCTAAAATAAAAGTCGACCACCAGGAATGGATTTTCCAGCCTTCTCATAAGTTTGTACTTTCATGGATTAATTACCTCCGCCCACAGCATGTAGTGTGATGCACATCGCTTCTTTCCAAACTTTAGAACTGCAGCTTTGTCCAACTTATTTCTCTCTACTCCTACACTCTGCTTTTAACTTTCGCTGTGCATTTTCACACACTGCTTTGGTCTGTATTTGATAAACTCATCCACAGCCTCAAGGTAATCTTTATAAATTCCCACTGCAGCTGATTTAACCCAAAGGCCATAGATTTCTTTGTATAGGTTTGTTACTGATGTGCTGAAAAGGACCGCACGTTGAAAAGAATTACAATTCAATTTTTTGTTTGAAATGCCTGTAGCAATAAAAAAAAAACCTTTTGTAACCGAAATTTGAAAGAAATCCTGAAGAACACTGCTGAACTAAAGGCTCTAAAGAATCAATAATGAAGAAAATCTTACATATCGACGCTGTGCAAACACCAGAGACAGCAAAACAAACACTAAGACGAGCATAAATGCATTTGAAAAGCCTCCACATGACCACGGCTACACAACAGGCAGATGGGTACATATGTCCACATCGATGTCACCGACTGGTTCGCCGCAGGGAGGGAGAGCCGGAGTGACGCACGTGTAATCTGAGAACTTTGTTTTGTGTTCTGTTTGTGCCAAAGATGCAGAACGGTTGCTGGTGCGGAATCACATTTTCTAATTCCTGTGAAACATCTGTGGCTGACAGTGAATGATTTATTAATCGCTACGAGCAGAAGCGCAAATATTTAAGTTAATGTGATTACCGCAGAGCTAACATGCTGCTTCTCTGTTCCCACTGCATGTACGGCAACGTCTCACTCACCTCTATGGGAAAATTGCTGCCTTTCCTGCTTCGTTATATTCCTACAGGATTATTCTGCTTTTGTTGTCTGGTTCACTCAGTTGTCATGACTTAAACCTGTTTCCTGCCTTTCTTTTCATCTTCCTACAGACGCCTGATCTACTCACGTGTACTTACTGATTTCCTTCAACCTATGACCTTAGAGAAAGAAAAAAAAGCGTTAACAGAAATAACTTGTTCTGTCCTTGTGGTACTTTATATAAGGAGTTTGCGTCTTCATTGAATGAGCGGGGTGAATTCTTGGGTACATATCTCTGTGAATGCCACGTGACTATGCAAGGCTTGGTTTTTTCATTTAATTCATAAGTCACTCTTATTTTCGCCCCCCTGTATACTATTTAAGTGACTCTCTGCCAAACTGCATTTCATTTTAATTCTTACTCCTACACACAAACGTAAATGTAGATTCATTTTTTTTTGTGTCCTTCAACGTTGTCAAGACATTTTCAATAGTGAGGCATATTTACAGGAATTACACTGATGTAATGTCACTGTTTGTTCTGCATCCTTGTGGGAGACAGTCCATGAATCACAGAAACTCCTTTGTCTTCATAAATGCACTACGATAAAAGGTTGTGATTGCCGCGATAACGCCTGAACGAGCAAGCACGTTATTAAATCATCTCAGTGAGCTGCGGTGCAAAATCTCAAAATCAAGGCCACCCCTAACAACTCTGTACCCGGCTGTCCTTAACACATTCATGATACCAAACCGAGGTTTAAGATACAAAAAAAAACTCTGCTGGATTCTTCTAAAACATCCTGCTGCCTCTTAAAAACCCATTCAAGCTTCTCCTTTCATTAGCTGTCCTTGCTTGCCTGTCTTTTCTCATCTTCCTTATGTCACCCGCGAGTCCTGCCATCGAATTATTCCACCGCACTCTTTGATCGAAGGCTTTTTAGGCCCGGATCAGGTGCAGATGATTGCGCTCATATCACAGATCAAACAACACGACCCCGTCTGCAAATGTCGGTCAGTCAGTTTGCCACTTTGGCTCAGAGTGAAATATCTTTACTTAAAGGATCGCCATGACAATTTTTGTAGAGATTTAAGGTTCCAAGACAATGAAATGTGAGGAAACGGTTTGATTAACAACTGATAAAACAGTCCTGAGCCATAAAAAAATACATTAATACCTGTAAACACCACTTATAATTTGCTATGCAATAAAACAAACACACCGCTGTGGTACTTACATCCTCACACACATGCTTTAAGCTAAAGGAAGTTCTGATATATTGTGACATCAGCGTTTCTATGAGGGACGTCAATCAAGCGCTCAGCAAGCTGCCAGAAGATGAAGAAATTCTTGAATCCACAGTCGAGATAAATCCAAAATCAGCAACTCTACAATAAATATGATGATATCGACAGTATGCTAAGTCTTTTAAAAGTTTTTTTCCTCCCATTTTTTGCCTTTGCGGGGCAGTTAATAGCGAGGAGGGGAGCAGGAAACAATGCAAGTCCCTGGACAGAATGAACTTGGGATGCTGCAGTTTACTATTCAGCTTGTAACACACTCCAGAGTCTTTGGAGCTTTTTTAACATTCACACACAACACTACACTCACGTGTCCCATCACTCAGGACGCCCAGTAGTCATCTATCTGCATCTCACTACTACAGAAGATCATACAGAGATGTTTATGCGACTGTAGTGCATTACAAGACAAATCATTTACTGTATTTTT